ATTTCCTTTTCAATAACAATTTGTATTAATCATATAGGATTAATTAACAAATAATAAGTATTTTAGAACGTTTTTTAAGGTTAAAAACTTCTATATTCCTGAATACTATGAACAAACGGAGCAACGTTTCTTTCTCTGTGCAGGGTCAACGTCATAAAAACCTAGAACAATAGGTTTCTCAACCATTCCGCACAAAAGAAATCTACATTGTAATCAATCCCTGCGAGTAAAATGATAACCAAAAATAGTTAAACCATGATTCCTTTCGGGAAATGCAGTCAACTCAGATGGTTTTTGCGAGCCCACACTTTATCAGCGACTAAACTTGGCAATATAATGGATACACTGGTAATTCTCTGTTTGCCTGTTTTCGAGCCGCCATGCAACATGGTCAGTGGTTCCAACCAATATCGAGCAGCAAATACACGAAGGCTGTTATTGACAATGATATTTCTTATTATTATCTGATTTACTGCTGCTGATCCAGATCAACGCGTAGCAATGAAAACGGTATTTAACTCCCATGATGGGTCTGATCCTAAACATATAGCCAAAAAAGTTTATATATTAAGAATTCAATAAACATGTTTTTGTATACGTTTACATGCTAGTAATACTATATCACATTATAAAATAACTGTTATGAATCTCGCAAAAAAACTTGTTACTTGTGCTGCAGTGTGGAGTAATAAAGCACTTGGGAATACTCCATTTTACAGTTCCGTTTGGGTGAACACGAATAACAGTTGCAACTCGAGGCTGCAGTTTCCGCGCATAGCAAAACTATACTTTTTATCATGCGCGGAAACTCCAGCCTCGGCTTGGAACGGAACTGTAAAATAGAGTATTGGCAGAACACTCGAGAATCGTCGAGAAGCACTCCGATACGTGTCGTGCTTCTCCTAACATTTCTCTCGTGTTCTGCCAATCCCCGCGTGCTTTATATCTGCACACAGCACGCGCGCGCGTAATTACGTCGGAGATGTTCATGTTTATTTGGTTGAAAAAGCAGATCCAAGAGTAAAACCAAAAGCAATGAACCCTTAGTCTCATCCTTCTTTTAGTCGCATTTATTAACTTTCCTCTTTCTTTGCAAAAAGGAGCCTCACAGCACTTCAATGGCAACTGCCACATCTACTATGATATAATTATAGTGGTTAACCCTGAGCAGCAGAGGAGTAAAAACTGTAATATTATTCAAATTGTTTCTTCTTATTCTTGTAATAAAGGTCATCGTTGTCTATCTTTATTTATTTAGTTTTTTCCATCGTGTTCTCCTTCCTTCCCCCCTCTTTTTAATAAAGTGGTTCTTGAGCGGACACTCTATATTTATACATATAGGATAGTGATTCACAGGCATTCCTACTAAATTAAACGAGTTGAAAATGCTCGAAAAACGAACAGGAAATCTTTCTCTGCATTTGTTAAGGAATATTTCATACAGACAAACCCCAGCTCCTTACAAAAATGGTTTATTGTCAGCACTCTTTTTCTTGATAAAATGTCGGTATACATAAGGCTATCGGTTGCGAGCGTGCATTGCTGAAAATGACAAGCCTTTATGTTCGTATTCATAATAAACCAAGGCCAAAACAACATGGCGACTATGACGTCACATGCACCCTAAAATATTTCTGCATGTGCGAACCTGGATCGTAGATTATTTTGTTATAACGACCTGTCGAAGTCGGACAAACTTAAAGTATTATAATTTGAAAAGTTTTTCTCGGGTTGTTTATCAGCCATCGAATGCTTGATTTCTCTTATTGAATGCTTGAGTAAACTAAGGAATAAACCCAATGATAGCGTGTAGTCCCCCCCCCCCCCCATTTTTTTTCATTTCACGTGTCGATGATATGATAGCGAAGCTCTATCAGGGGGTAACCAAATCTTCCGTCTGAATCTTATAACTGCCTATGTCACCATTTCGGAACGTCCTTGTGTCGCTTGTCAGAATTAACCCCTAACAGGGGCCTTGCATTCGGTTATTCATGAGAGCTGCAGTCTGTGGTTCGTCGCGGCGACACGAGAGAGCCACGAACTAAGGCCATGTCGCTTGTCGGAATATACCCTTAACAGGGCCTGGATAATAATATCGTCTATTCTTTTATCGTTTTTCGTCTATGCTTTAATGTATTCCGGGCATTCCTCTGCACTCTACTTTTTAATCATGCTCACACAGGACTTGTACTTGAATGGGACACGTCTTTATAACTTCCTTTAAGCACAACACTTTGAACCCTTTTACCATTTCGCTTCTCGAAGCAAAGCAAGTGCACTGCGCATGCGATAACCAAGATCAAAGTGAACAGACCCCCAGCAGCGATTACTGAGAGCACTTTCGCAGAAAGACTGCTCAAAGGGGCGAACTCTTTGGGGATAATGAATATTCTTTCGTTATCTCTTTTTAGTGATTTAACGGAATATTTAGTTGGCGTTGATTTTACATTGAAATGTTTGTCTGAAATAAAAAGTTGAAAAAAATTWAAAAAAAATTTTTTTACTCGTACATCATAGACAAGAAAAAAGATATAATAGAGAGAAGTAAAGCAAAGCAAAGCAAAGCAAAGCAAAGAGAAAAGAGAATATAATGAGTAGTTACCTTTATAATTCTTCGGCATGTTACAATAATCTTTAAAGCAACATAGCAGTAGGTATTGTTTATCAGCATCCTGTTTGGGCGGAGATCCTTGCCTCACACACAAGCTTGTGTACCCTTTTCGTTGTATACATCCATATTTCGCTGTGGAGTTGAGAATCTCCGCATAACATGCATAACCAGCTTGGCATGAAATAGAATTATCTTGGGTGCAATCAACTGAATTACAAAAGCACTTTAAGGAACCTGAAATTGCACACAGAGATTTAAGATGTATCAAGAGCTGCGCAAGCTCATATTTAACTCTATTCGCAAAACCCAATACAAAATCCATTTCGTAAAATGCATAATCAGCTTCCCATAAAATAGTGAAAATTTTAAAACGTGAACTAGTTATACAGAGTCATCAAATACGCATTGATAGAGCGCATGCGCTAAAACAAACGAACTCTAGACAAGACGCGCCTCAATGTGAGTAGAGGTTACTTGATTCGAATATTTTTCTCTGGGATCGTCAGTTTTTCTCCTTCCTCGAAACCAAACACTCTAATTCTTATTTGATGCGTGATTTAACCATTCTAGATTTGGCTAACTCACAGATCAAAGGAGAGACCCATGCAATTCTTCTCACATATCGAACTCTGGATCCCGCAGGTCAATGAGACCATGCATACCAGCAAATTAATGAACCCATGGGTCCACAAAGGAACCGAATGTAATTATACTAGTCGAAAACTACATAAACTTAGAGGTCGACTTCCAAACTCTCCTCAAGCTATCCCGCGAGGCATTGTAGGTCAAATGATACAGGAAGCCCAGAACTAAGCGTCAAAATAAAACAAAATTAGCACGATGTGTTGTGTACGACGTCGGACAACTTCAAAACCGAAGCATCTCTATTGAGACTATTTTATATTATCAAAACATTGTGACCTCTTTGAAATCCAAATGAACAAAATCAGTGCCTACTAAAACGTCTTGACTATGGCCAAACAATATCATATTTAATAGGGACAATCATTTTTAATAGTTTTTTAGTTCTGTATTCTTAGACAGGTGATGGAAGAACCAGATAGAAAGGCCTACACGAGACTTCTAGGCRACAAGCTAAGTGATATCTATACTGATCACAAAACACGCGCAGCAAGGCGTTTTACTTTCCTAGAGCACATATAAAAGTGTATGCGTATTGGTTTATAATTCAAAGTACGTCAATAATATTTATGTTAAAAATCTCAATTATTCTATGTGCTATTCCAAAAATTGTAGATCAATTTGACACTGAAATAGAAGGAGATTGATCCAAATACTTTAGTAAACAACTTACAGAAGTTTAATACCGATTCATTGGCCGATAATCTTTAATTTAGTCAATTCTAAAATCAAATCATTCTTAAACGAAGATAAGCAAAACAAAAGTGGTACAGACAAGATGACGCCGGTCAACGTGGCCTTAGCGATGAAAAAGCAGGTCTTTTGTTAGGAATTAAATCAAGGTCGGATGGATATTGAAAGTGTTCAACATTTTTGCAAGTCGGCCTTAAGTGAATCGTAACTGTTACTGTTAATAATTTTTTGGTGGTCTTTTAATTTCCTGTGTTCAATGTTTCTATTCTGACAATAATAGTGGGCGAGTACCAACCTTACTTCGATCTCGGATGTTTGAATTCACAACCCAATAACCTAACTGTTATTTTTTTATTTTTTCGGAACAAATAGAACTGTTAGATATGTGTTTAGATAAATAACTACTCCGACGTACGAGTTCCGGCTCTAACTATACCTAGCAAAACAGCTTCGGGAAACAAATATAAAAAACGAATTTTTGTCTAAAAACCAATTTAAATCAATTTGATATACAATTACGTGGTTTTCTGTAGCAGGGGATTTTTTAATGGCAGAGAGATTGGTGTGAGATACGATTTCACAAGACGGCAGTGCCGTGTGAGAAAGCTAAAACTGACACTAATGTGCACAATCTCAGTCTAAATTCCTAATCAAGTGCTAGTCGAAAATTTGCTTTGTTTGACGTTCAGTTAGTCCTTGCCTGACGTTTGAACGTCCCTTTGTATATCTTATCTGTTTAAAAAAAAAAAAAACGCTATTTCTATTCGTTTGGCTACTTTAAAGGAAAAGGAATCTAATTCATGAAAATTAAATTTATTTTTTTGATATTCAAAAGTAATCGTATTTCAATATCTCATTGTTAGCTTTTCAGTTATATCTCGTAATTTTACATTTTTGAAAACCAATACAAATAGAATAACATTTTTTCTTCTTTTTTTTGTTCTCAAGCCATTAGTTCCGATGTTATTTTTAAGGAGTAAAAGCAAGTTCCACTAATAAATTCCACCATAGAATAACAAGATTTAAATTTTTAAGCTAGTAACCCATTACTATGTGATCTACTTTAAACATTCGTAATTCCTTTATGTGAATTCCAAGATTCCTTTGTTTAGTTTATATATATTTCCTTTGTATTGCCGGGATATTTGCTATCATTTGTGTTCTTCCTTTGAGCCAATTTACACAATTATGTGAAATAAACCTTTGGCTCAGTTACGTACCGCGAAGTGTAAATTGAAGTTACCTTTCAAAGATAAATCGGTACGGATAGTTTGACAAGAAGTTGTGTTGTCTAATGCTAAATTTGAATGCCATCTCCCTTGTTACCAATACGAAAAAGGCTCGATATAATGCAAATAATTTCACTCTTTGCAATAGTCAAGAGCCTATTTTAACTCTACTCTAACTCCGTTATGGATATAGATAAAATATCCTAATATGAAATAAAACTATTTTAACAATCGGTACACTTTTAGTGTGTTGGTCCACCCATTGCAATAATCGTTTCAAAACAAAAATATATATATATGAAGCAAGAGGAGAAAAGATATTGAACCCAAATGGATTTCTGTCCACGCTAAGAGCAATGGCTAGAAAATCTTTTTAATTTTTAATGTCACTAGCCAGACTCTCCAAATCGAATTATAAATTAGTACTTTACGCATTGCAACGGTTTCTGAACACACTGTTTTAGATTTTTTGAAAAAAAAAAAAAAAAAAAAAAAAAGAAAGAAAGAAAGAAAAGAAAAAACGTATACAAATCATTGTTTGGATGCCAAAGAATTGCCTCCGCCATAAATCAAATATCGTCAGCGGACTAACTTTTAGCTACGTGCTACAGGGGGCGAAAATATTTAGGGACTGAAATGAGTGCATCTGTAGTGAATAAATTTGTTACTTTAAGCTTCAAAGAACATGCTGAATGAAAATCTCTCTCAAGCACAATATTTCGTAATCCGCTTAATTGCTTTTGCAGTCAATATATCATTTATAAAATCAGTCGATTGCTCTTGGCCGGAGTTAGGAATACGGTTGCCTGACATCCAATATTTCAATCGTATATCTTTTAAAAAGAGCCATCTTTTGCATTCTATTCCAAACATTTTTTTACCTCTTTTTGGACGAATTTTCGTTTTCTTTTTTTGAGGGAAAGGAAACGGCAAAGAGTAACATAGTCTAAGTTTGAGCATGACAAATCGTACTTCTAAAAGTCCTTTGCCATGTTCACGAATCAAAAATCACTTTGGATAATCGTACTGTATTATATCCAAGCATTATATTCTTGTTCATTTTCACCAAGATTTTTTTCTCCCATATTTAAGAGACTAGCTCTTATCCCTTCAAGTTTTTTTTCTTCCTAAAGTACGAGGCTACTGTTATGAGCTGTTAAACGTACCGAAAAATAATGGATTACTGAAGCCTTAGACGTAAAGAAAACCCATAATAACACCGTAATGTTTTAACCCAATTTTTGTCGATAACCAAAATATCTGTAAAATATTTATTTCCACGTGAATATACATCATACCAAAAATAGCTCAAAATTAAACCATATATAAAATGCGTTGTACTATGTAAAATATTTTTCAAAACTATCATGAACAGACTACATGACCATCGATAGCGGGTAGTTTAACAGGATAATCAGTATGGCGTTTATATATAAATATTTGAAATCAAATTCGTTTTCGCGATTAAAACTCCTACCTTCTACATTGATAATAGTTCCTCCTATGAATACGACCAAAAAAAGTTTCCATAAAGTCATTTCTAGGTAAATTTAAGGCTTAAGACGAAGAGCGAACCAAGATCATGTTCAGGACTCTTAGATACGGCTAATTGGTGCTACTACAGTTGGAGCCGTGCTTTAACGATGAGAAAATAGTCATCCAAATGATTCAGTAATGACTATCAATTAAGCAGGTGTTGCATTGGGCCCCCCACTCAGGGCTATTGTCTAGAGAGCCAAAGGTTACATCAATCACGCCAATATTACATTGTTCAAATATAACCCTTGATTTGGTGCAATATCAATGCAAACTCTTCTATTAGCACTATATATACGCGTGTAGTTTCGTTCTATGAAAACGTCTTACCTGGACTCCGCAGCGATGCGCGAGAGCACCAAGGCCTTAGTGAATTTCAACGATGTCTGAATCTTCGGTTAAGCCGACCCCTACGTTCGTTGGCAAATGGTCAATTGTGTAGCGAAATCCCTTATATTGTTTGCTGCCTTAGAACCGTTATACTAAGTAGAGAATGGTCAGGCTAAGCATCTCTAACTGATGTGGAATTCATGGTCTAACGCGATGACGTAATATAAACTCGAATATTGCCATGGTAGCACTGTCATTCAGTCTATTTAAACATGCGAAAACGCGAGAGAAGATGGCGGTTGTATTAAACGTTACGTTTTAGAAATACCATTTTTTATATCGTCAAAAAAAAATTCCCTTTTGTCAAAAGTAAAAAAAAAATTCTCATTCTACTTATTCAAATTCATTACTGAATTCATTATTATTTATTTAGTTATTTTTTAATATTTTCGCTTTGGTAAATACTTGATATACTTCTTTTGAGACTTTTTGTAGCAAGGCTTATATTGAAGCTTTATATAGCTTGTTATATATCCATAAATAGACCGGAATCATATGGACCATTAAATCAAAATTAAATGTAATTAACTACTCACGTTTTTGCCCTTAAGGTACGACGATGCTGTGGTTTCCACGTAATTAAGCAAGGAAATGAACACTTGAAGCAAGCAGCTGTCTAATATCAATAACTATGCAAGATAAAGTGTACCTTTGATAAGTACCCCTTGATATAAGCTCCTCCAACGACTCTAGCAGGTCAATATAGACCAATAACTACTTTAATTCCTAGCCAATCGTTTCTTGATTCCATAGACTATCTATTAATGTTCTTGTATTCCTAGTGTGTAATATTTCTTTATAGTGACTTGGCGCCAATTTGGTGAAACGACTTAAGAATTAATGGCTAATAAAAAGATGAGAGAATGAACTTTGAAATATACAATGGAGGAACAAATGCCTTAGCCAATTTGAAATGTCCAAGGGTTTGGTCAAAATTATCCTCTTCACAAAACCAGCAGTTTCAAGACCAAGATATCAAAATCTATAGCTCCAATTTCGAGTTTTCCATACTCATTGAACCATGCATCCTTAGCCTTGGTTTTGTAAAGAATATTAATGTATTCCAGTAAAGGTCTGTAAGTGCATTTTATTTTAACATTAGTCTTTATTTTATATATTTTACGCTGAGCTGAAATAAGGCTAACCCTGAATAAATTAGTTTCCAATATAGGAACATAGTAGCATTTAGGTCTATTAAGTTTTCCTTCGGTTCGCGAATTAATTAAAATTAACAGAAAGAACTCAAATTAATGTAGGTAATTAATTATAACTGAGACACCTCCGCAGCATTTTTTCTTCTTTTACTTTTTTGTTGGCGCTTGGGATCCCTTAATTACAAAGGATGGAGGGGGCTTGAAGAGAGAGGGACGTGAAGCTATGATCGAGCGGTCCGTTATCTAAAAAACACAGGTACCCGTTAAAAAAAATCGAGCAAACAAAAAGAAGCACATAAACTGGCCCTGAAAAACAGTATTGTCGGTTTACACTTTACGTCTTCATCGCATCTAAACTATTGATGGTATAAAGGCATTTCTCAATTATGTTTTACAAATCATTGTTAAAAGTCACAACAAAAAATCTCGAGTCATTCCGATGTTTGGTTCCCGAGTTATGAATGTGTAGTTTGTGTCACGCATTATCGTCACGTCTATCTAGATAGCAATAAAAATAGTAAAATAATTTACTCTAGTTGAAAAAATTTCCCTTAGACACGTTTTAAATATCTATTTAAAGTATATTTAAGTGAAATATAGTCAAAAATAGTTAAAATTCAATCATCTTAAGCATTTGAAATTTCGCCCGCCATTGATCGTGTACTAACTTGTAAGACAAAGATGGCCGCTCCATACATTTTAACCAAAAACTGCGTCATGTTTATTCGCCTATAGTTCCGCAACGAAATGCTTTACAGCCTTCAAGTTTGGCCAGAAGTTGTAGTTTTGATCGCTTTATAAGATTATGAAACTTTTATTTCATTACAATGCGAATTTACGCTTTTGAAATTCATGATAACGTAGATGTAAACCAAAAATAGGATTTTCATCTTCTTTTTTATTCTAAAATCTTCGCCTTAAAAGCAAAGAACCCCAATGGGAAACCTCTACTACTATCAAACGTTTAATCTGAGGGTCAAGAGTTCGAGTCCTTTATCAGGCGGTCTAAATTCTTACCTTTGTTACATATTTTACTACAATTTTCATTGTAATTCAGCTTGTCTTTTCTTCCTTGGCATTCATATTTACAGTGCCTGGTTACGTAACCTCGGTAGAGCATCACGGTTTTAATCTGAGGGTCAAGGGTTCCAGTCCCTTATTGGGCGGTGTACAATTTTACCTTTGTTACATATTTTACTCCAATTTTCATTGGAATTCCTGTTTTCCTTTCTATCGTCTATTTCATATTAACATGGCCTGGTTAGCTCAGTCGGTAGAGCATCAAACTTTTAATCTGAGGGTCAAGGGTTCGAATCCCTTATCGGGCGTTGTAATTTCTAGTTTTGCTACGTATTTTACTCCAAATTTCATTGGAATTCCTGTTTTCCTTTCTGTGGTCTATTTCGTCATATAAACATGGCCTGGTTAGCTCAGTCGGTAGAGCATCAGACTTTTAATCTGAGGGTCAAGGGTTCGAATCCCTTATCGGGCGGTGTGAATTTTTACCTTTGTTATATATTTTACTCCAAATTTCATTGGAATTCCTGTTTTCCTTTCTGTGGTCTATTTCGTAATATTAA